CCATTAGGAAGTGAGTAAAAATAAGGATTTGGGATGGAACGGGGATTAGGAATAGTGCCCAACCACTTGTGGACGGTCGGGGATTGAACACCGACCAGCATGAAGCGAGACCGTCGCTCTACCGTTCAGCCCAAGTGATTGGGTTCTAAGATGATCAGTTATGAGTCCTGATGATCAGTTATATATATATATATATATATATATATATATATATATATATATATATATATATATATATATATATATATATATATATATTTATAGTATATTTTTGTAGCAGTCTTTCTTGTAAACATATGTTGTTAAATATGACCGAAAAGATAAGATTAATAATTCTAACACAAATTTTCTCAATATTTCTTTTCACTGTTGATGGTAATTGAAAGTGTAAGAAAGTTTAGGCTTAGTTGCTGGGTGCTGCCATGTTTTTTTGTGGCTAGGCTGCCAGCTGGGTGCTGCCATGATTGTTGAGGCTAGGCTGTTGGAAATAACCAACATATTTTCTAATCCTTAGTACAATGGGATGTATTACCTGTGCTAAGCTTTATAATTAACTAACACTACTAATCCGTAGTTTAGTTTCACAGAATTCATTGCATTAGGATGTGGAGCGTCATGTAATTTTCCCTAGAATCGCTGGCAGTGTTACATTAGCCAGCCACAAGGAATAATTTTCCACATATCTGTAAACCCAACAGAGTCCAACCATTTTCTTTCCTATATTAAGGATAATTATTTATTAATAGGTTTACTTTATTTAGTATACTACAGTCTACTGGAATTCCTTTATCCAGCTAGATAGCTGTTTCAGTAAATAATAATATAACCTAAAATCATTTTCACTTCCAAAGGATTCTCGTTTTATTTGTGTAGTCTACATTAACTGATCCGCACTGCGAGAATCAAATATTACTACATAATGTATTTAATTATGATATAAACAGTCGTCATAAACACTTCCTTCCCTATTTAACTTTAATCAAAAACATTTATGCTCGGGACCCCCCATTGGGAATTGTCGCGCATGCGTGTCCCCCGAGAGGGAAGGAGGTCTCTCGCCATATTAGATCCCCTGGCAGTATGGTGTTCCGAAGCGGTCCTTATAATCCTCACAATCTAGCAAGCATCCGTACATCATCGAGCTTCAGATTGAGGACACAGCTTACCAGAATAACGGACACCAGTTCGGCAGGCATTTTTACCTTTTTGTATTATTATTTTGAGCTCTAATAATAACTAATGTAGGTACCCTGTCGTGATGCTGTAGGCCAACCTCGTACGTTCCTCTTGTCACAAATAAGATATAATTAGTTTTCATTGTAGATAGTTCGTCTCAGTTGTGAGTCAATACATTCACATTATTGCATATTGATAATACATATTATTTAATCGTTAATATGCAGTAGTATTTTCGCTTTACATGTTACTAATCATTATAATCTATGTGTGAGCATATTATTATTATTATCATGTCTACAATTTATTATACACATTATGCATTATGTAGACTAACTTCATTGAAGACCCGCCAAAATGTGTCATAGGAAGAGGCTCTAGAATGTAGAGAATTTTACGGTTCATTGCATAAGAATAGAATCATAGAATTTCTTGCATTTAATCAAAGAGATCCATAACTCACTGGTTCTATCATTTAACATCGCATTCTGGTCCTTCGAGCTCTCTTAGAATTATATATTATTTTTGTATTCATAGAATAACATATTTTATTAGCTTAAACTAGAACCAGATTTCCCTACATTTGCTGCCATAATTGTTGTGGCTAGGCTGCAAGCTGTGTGCTGCCATGTTTGTTGTGGCTAGGCTGCCAGCTGGGTGCTGCCATGTTTGTTGTTGCTTGGCTGCCAGCTGGGTGCTGCTATGTTTGTTGTGGCTAGGTTGCCAGCTGGGTGCTGCCATGTTTTTTGTGGCTAGGCTGCCAGCTGTGTGCTGCCATGTTTGTTGTGGCTAGGCTGCCAGCTGTGTGCTGCCATGTTTGTTGTGGCTAGGCTGCCAGCTGGGTGCTGCCATGTTTGTTGTGGCTAGGCTGCCAGCTGTGTGCTGCCATGTTTGTTGTGGCTAGGCTGCCAGCTGGGTGCTGCCATGCTTGTTGTGGCTAGGCTGCCAGCTGGGTGCCGTAATGTTGTCTTCTTGTGGTGTTCCTTGTCCCCCAGACACCGAAGATAACAGTCAGGCGGATGAAGGATGAAATAAACACGAGAAAAGCACGTGAATTATTCTTTATTGTGGCTGACATGAGGAGGGCGTTCTTGTAGAGGGCATCCCTGCAGAGAGCTTCTTCGTAGAGAGCATCCCTGCAGAGGCTTTTCCGCCAGAAGCTTTCCCTGCAGAGTGCGTCTCTTCGGATGACTCCAGCAGAGGGCGCCCCACAGCAAGAACACACCGCCGGGCTGGCCGCTCTATACCTTTTGATTACCTAGAAGCAAATCCTTAGTGAAATATCCATACTTTTTTTTGTATCGAAAAATTTACACATCTGATAGGGAAAATACAATTCTTCTTCACAAGAATGTACTATGAGTTGCTCTGATGGGAAGACAGTGATTTATGTGTTATGATATGCATCTATGTCAATAAGGGCGAATCCATTTTTTTGAACCCCTAGTGTACACCGTAGCGAAATATTACAATATAATTACCAGGGACTTGGAAGACATCCATAGCGTTGTGTAAGCTTGGTGACTCTATACACACACACACACATACCTGTATATTATGAGGTTACATCCATATATATATACACCTGATGGGTGTATGTGAAGGTTGCCGTCACCACTTTAAGATGCTACAAAGACCACTGTCGCGTCCCTCACACTTGGCTACTTTCTGGCCCCCACGGACGCCCTTGGTGGCGACCTCGTCCGCCACGGAATCATTTGTACAGGAGACGTCTTTCCCTGACCCGCGGCGCGACCATGGCGACGCTACACCATGACGACGCTACACCATGGCGACGCTACACCATGGCGACGCTACACCATGGCGACGCTACACCATGGCGACGCTACACCATTACGACGCTACACCATGGCGACGCTACACCATGGCGACGCTACACCATAGCGACGCTACACCATGGTGACATCACACCAGTGTAAGACAACATGAACGTAACACAACTCTCACAGCTTCATAACCTGCTCTGGGTGGTTGGGGAGGGGTCGAGTCTGATCGCGCTCGACCCGGAAACAAGAACATGAAATCAGAAGGTTCAGTGCCAAGACCACACTGGGTGCTGGAGGACTGGTGGAGGTGTGGCGGTGGTGGAGGACTGGTGGAGGTGTGGCGGTGCTGGAGGACTGGTGGAGGTGTGGCGGTGCTGGAGGACTGGTGGAGGTGTGGCGGTGCTGGAGGACTGGTGGAGGTGTGGCGGTGCTGGAGGACTGGTGGAGGTGTGGCGGTGCTGGAGGACTGGTGGAGGTGTGGCGGTGCTGGAGGACTGGTGGAGGTGTGGCGGTGCTGGAGGACTGGTGGAGGTGTGGCGGTGCTGGAGGACTGGTGGAGGTGTGGCGGTGCTGGAGGACTGGTGGAGGTGTGGCGGTGCTGGAGGACTGGTGGAGGTGTGGCGGTGCTGGAGGACTGGTGGAGGTGTGGCGGTGCTGGAGGACTGGTGGAGGTGTGGCGGTGCTGGAGGACTGGTGTGGAGGTGTGGCGGTGCTGGAGGACTGGTGGAGGTGTGGCGGTGCTGGAGGTGGAGAGTCCCAGCATGGTATTATATAGTGTTAGACGTATTATATAATGTTAGACGTATTATATAATGTTAGACGTATTATATAATGTTAGACGTATTATATAATGTTAGACGTATTATATAATGTTAGACGTATTATATAATGTTAGACGTATTATATAATGTTAGACGTATTATATAATGTTAGACGTATTATATAATGTTAGACGTATTATATAATGTTAGACGTATTATATAATGTTAGACGTATTATATAGTGTTAGATGTATTATGTAGTACTAGATGTATTATATAGTGTTAGACGTATTATATAATGTTAGACGTATTATATAATGTTAGACGTATTATATAATGTTAGACGTATTATATAATGTTAGACGTATTATATAATGTTAGACGTATTATATAATGTTAGACGTATTATATAGTGTTAGACGTATTATATAATGTTAGACGTATTATATAGTGTTAGATGTATTATATAATGTTAGACGTATTATATACGTGTTAGACGTATTATATATGTTAGACGTATTATATAGTGTTAGACGTATTATATAGTGTTAGACGTATTATATAGTGTTAGACGTATTATATAGTATTAGATGTATTATATAGTGTTAGACGTATTATATAATGTTAGACGTATTATATAATGTTAGACGTATTATATAATGTTAGACGTATTATATAGTGTTAGATTATTATATAGTGTTAGACGTATTATATAGTGTTAGACGTATTATATAGTGTTAGATGTATTATATAGTGTTAGACGTATTATATAGTGTTAGATGTATTATATAGTGTTAGACGTATTATATAATGTTAGACGTATTATATAATGTTAGACGTATTATATAATGTTAGACGTATTATATAATGTTAGACGTATTATATAATGTTAGACGTATTATATAGTGTTAGACGTATTATATAGTGTTAGATGTATTATATAGTGTTAGATGTATTATATAGTATTAGATGTATTATATAGTGTTAGATGTATTATATAGTGTTAGACGTATTATATAGTATTAGATGTATTATATAGTGTTAGATGTATTATATAGTGTTAGATGTATTATATAGTGTTAGACGTATTATATAGTATTAGATGTATTATATAGTGTTAGATGTATTATGTAGTGTTAGATGTATTATATAGTGTTAGATGTATTATATAGTGTTAGATGTATTATATAGTGTTAGATGTATTATATAGTGTTAGATGTATTATATAGTGTTAGATGTATTATATAGTATTAGATGTATTATATAGTGTTATAGTGTTAGATGTATTATATAGTGTTAAAAGTATTATATAGCATTAGCCATATTATATAGTGTTGGACATAAGTACCAAAGCAACATAAAAATTTTAAAAGAGCATACGAGATGACACTGAATATAATATGACTCCATAAGGTGATTGAAAACAAGAAAGGTCTGAGAAGGATGTTGGGCCGCCAAAAGAGATTAGAGGAATGTGTTAGGTGGAATACAAGTCAAATATTAGGAAATAGAAGAGTATATATATGTCTATTACACGTCTATTATCACACTGTGACGGGACCCTGAAGGTGAAGAATAGAGAGGGAGGAGCGCTTCTTATTCTAGGCGAAGTTGGCTTCAGACCGTTGCGTGCGCGCGCGCGTGTGTGTGTGTGTGTTTGTGTACCCTCTACTCATCTCATTCCTGGAGTTCCTGGAGTATATTCTACTCCAGGAACCTTCTACTCATCTCTGTGTCGCCCAGGAATACTTTACTCATCTGTGTGTATTATTCCCATAATTATTATTATTATTATTATTATTATTACTATTATTATTATTATTATTATTATTATTATTATTATTATTATTATTATTATTATTATCGTTTTAATTATTATTATGATAATTATTAGATTACAATCAGTTTAGTGTTAGTGTACTGTCTCTTAACGTCACTGTCTATCAGACAGTCTAACGTAGTGTCTATCGTAGCGTTTCTAAGGTATCGTGTGTATCGTAGCGTCTCTAAGGTATCGTGTGTATCGTAGCGTCTCTAAGGTATCGTGTGTATCGTAGCCTCTGTAATACACATCTCCGTGGCACTGCCGCTCCCCGCAATAAGTCAGACGGGTCCTCGGACGCTCAATATTAAATTCATGCGTGTGTGGTTTTCTTGGAGCGGAAGGCCATCTTTTTTAGCCTCCCGTTGTTCAGGCTTTGTGAGGGAAGGATGGAAGAGTGAGGGAGAGTGGGAGGGAGGGGAGAGCTGCGGAGTGGGAGGGAGGATCTGAGATAGGGTTGGATTTCATGGAGGATAGCGAATTGAAGACGGGACAGAGAGAGAGAGAGAGAGAGGGGAGGGGGGACATGAGTATGAAATCAAAGCCCAACAGAAGCTTAAACTTTCCCGAAGAGAGTTAGCTAAGTTGTTCGCTCCAGCTTGACTTGTCCCTCAGGTCGTCATTCACACGAAGGTGACATAAAACTTCAGAGTTAGAGTGTAGAAGCTCATATTCAGATCGAACAGCCAAGTTGTTGACGATTGTTTAGGATCGACAAGATTCGGTTACGTTCGTAGAAATCTGTGTACGAACTGTCTGGTGTACGAAGTGAACATGTTCTCCACAGAGTAAAGTAAGACTAGTAACACCAGGTGAGTCACAGCCCGGCTTAGTAACACCTGGTGAGTCACAGCCTGGCTTAGTAACACCTGGTGAGTCACAGCCTGGCTTAGTAACACCTGGTGAGTCACTGCCCGGCTTAGTAACACCTGGTGAGTCACAGCCCGGCTTAGTAACACCTGGTGAGTCACAGCCTGGCTTAGTAACACCTGGTGAGTCACAGCCCGGCTTATTAACACCTGGTGCCCGGCTTAGTCACCTGGTGAGCCCGGCTTAGTAACACCTGGTGAGTCACAGCCTGGCTTAGTAACACCTGGTGAGTCACAGCCTGGCTTAGTAACACCTGGTGAGTCACAGCCTGGCTTAGTAACACCTGGTGAGTCACAGCCTGGCTTAGTAACACCTGGTGAGTCACAGCCTGGCTTAGAGTCACAGCCCGGCTTAGTAACACCTGGTGAGTCACAGCCTGGCTTAGTAACACCTGGTGAGTCACAGCCTGGCTTAGTAACACCTGGTGAGTCACAGCCTGGCTTAGTAACACCTGGTGAGTCACAGCCTGGCTTAGTAACACCAGGTGAGTCACAGCCCGGCTTAGTAACACCAGGTGAGTCACAGCCTGGCTTAGTAACACCTGGTGAGTCACAGCCTGGCTTAGTAACACCTGGTGAGTCACAACCTGGCTTAGTAACACCAGGTGAGTCACAGCCCGGCTTAGTAACACCAGGTGAGTCACAACCTGGCTTAGTAACACCAGGTGAGTCACAGCCCGGCTTAGTAACACCAGGTGAGTCCCAGTCTGGCTTAGTAACACCATTTGAGTCACAGCCTGGCTTAGTAACACCAGGTGAGTCACAGCCCGGCTTAGTAACACCTGGTGAGTCTGACGAAGCGTCGCCTGGCCGGCCATAACCTCACTAACAACGCCTGGCGAAGAAATTCACACCAAGAAAAATTTATTAAATTCCTGCACCTTATGTAGAGATGAACTTGAGAAATTAAACGTGAATTAATTTCACCGATGATGGCGGTGAAGCTGTGGGCTCTTGTGTGGGTGAAGCTGTGGGCGCTTGTGTGGGTGAAGCTGTGGGCGCTTGTGTGGGTGAAGCTGTGGGCGCTTGTGTGGGTGAAGCTGTGGGCGCTTGTGTGGGTGAAGCTGTACTGGGCGCTTGTGTGGGTGAAGCTGTGGGTGCTTGTGTGGGTGAAGCTGGAGGCGCTTGTGTGGGTGAAGCTGTGGGTGCTTGTGTGGGTGAAGCTGGAGGCGCTTGTGTGGGTGAAGCTGTGGGTGAAGCTGTACTGGGCGCTTGTGTGGGTGAAGCTGTGGGTGCTTGTGTGGGTGAAGCTGTGGGCACTTGTGTGGGTGAAGCTGTGGGTGCTTGTGTGGGTGAAGCTGTACTGGGCGCTTGTGTGGGTGAAGCTGTGGGTGAAGCTGGAGGCGCTTGTGTGGGTGAAGCTGTACTGGGCGCTTGTGTGGGTGAAGCTGTGGGTGCTTGTGTGGGTGAAGCTGGAGGCGCTTGTGTGGGTGAAGCTGTGGGTGCTTGTGTGGGTGAAGCTGTACTGGGCGCTTGTGTGGGTGAAGCTGTGGGTGCTTGTGTGGGTGAAGCTGTGGGCACTTGTGTGGGTGAAGCTGGAGGCGCTTGTGTGATTGAAGCTGTGGGCACTTGTGTGGATGAAGCTGTGGGTGAAGCTGTGGGCACTTGTGTGGGTGAAGCTGTGGGTGATTATGTGGAGCTGTGAACGCTTGTGTTGTGTTGGTTTGTGAAGCTGTGGGCAATTGTGTTGTTGTGAGGATGAAGCTGTAAGCACTGCAATGAAGGAAAACAATCTAAATGTTTTAAAGAAATACTATGAAAGAAATTTTTGAATTAACAGCAAGTAGAAGTCCTGGCACTTTCTTCATGCGGAAAATGAAGGGAAGAGAAGAAGGCAGAAGACTATGAAGAAGGGCAAGAAAGCACGGGAAACGCAAGACAACGAAAGGTAAGAAGTTCACGAATAACACAAGAGAGACCAGAGTTTCTTCCACCCATCCAGCGATCAAAACATGAAAAGGTGTGTGGTCTTCTCATTTTTCAGTGGACGAAGTAGTGACAGCGAAGATATTTTTTGCTTTTAGTATGCGTAGGTGAAGAAGGCGCCGCTGTCGCCCATCCCCACGTCGACATCCTCGTCTTCGTCCAGGTCCACCACGGTCACGTCCCCGCCGGCAGGAACCTGAGGCAACGCCGCGGACGTCACCCTCTTGGTGAGATCGAAGCTGTAGCCGCCCCTGTAGCGTCGAGGGAACCAGCTGCTCCGTGCCAGCGAACCTGGAGAGGAAGAACGCGGCTTAGAACACCTGCCAGAGGCTACATGTTAGAATACCTGATTGATATCACATGTTAGAACACCTTGTAGATACCACAGGGAGCATTTACTGGAATCAAATATGATAACATCTGTCGCTAGAAGTTGCGAACTCTATCTTTGGCTGGAAGGCGCCAATTCTGCTGCGCCTTCCGACGGATGGGTCGGTTACGGCCCGATACAATCAGTGGTACCGTTTGAACATTAACCAGTCGACGATGAAGACTGATACCCATACACCTCGCTCAATCGGCCCTTGTGAACACAAAAACCTTACAACGTGTTCTGCTTTTTTGTAGAGTGCTCGACAGAGGGTAGCGCGAGGGAACGGCAGGAGGTCTCATGGCAACAATGACTCTCTCTTGTATTCTGAGGACTTGGGGAAAGGTGGTGGCAGCGCTGTGAAGAACAGAGGTCTTCAAGATTCCTGCCACTAATAACAATTTAATAATAGAAAGAAATCACACTAACATGACCTATCAATGAAAAAATCCTGTTATTAATAATAGTAATATTTATATTAAAAATGACATTTACAAAAAAATTCTCGTACTGGAATTGTTTCATGTCACTCTTCATCCTCTGTCCTCTACTGGTTCTGTTATCTGTATAGCTCTTCCTTCGTCTCTTCTGCTCCATGGCCACCTCCTCATTCGCCGCGGCCAGAGCCCGTGGGGGCCCTGGTGGTCGAGCACCGCTCTCTGCCGCTGGGAAGTTTCGAACTTTATTTTGGGCGGTAAGGAATCACTGGGCGGAAGGCTAATCCGGTGATATTAGTTGGGACCCGGAGGGAAGGGTCCGTGGTGGGTGTATCCTGGTAGGGGGGGGGGGGTTCGTCCGGCAGTGACTGAGGTCGGTGCTTGCCAGGCGCGGAAGAAACATTGAAAGACAGCAACTTACAGTGATATACAATTCAACAAAATACAGTGCTGTATAATACAACTGAACAGAGGACAATACAATTAACAAAGGACTAAGACATTTTGTCCAGCGTTCCTTTTGTCCTGTTTAATATAATAAATTCGTCCGTATTTTAACCCTTAGAGTGTAGTTATTGACGGGTGATTTGGCTATAATTACATAATAAAGAGATGAATCATGTTATTATACACAGTCATTAAACTGAAGAATGTTGGAACATATGACATGATTATGCCCCAAACATTTTGTGCAAAATAATATGTTTTGAGACCAATTTGAATATTTTCCTCAGTCAACCATTTATATTTCTGTTCTCCCTTGAATATTATGCGTATGAAAACGTAAAGCAAAGAAGGAACTCTTGTATACATGTATCAGGGTCTAACATCAAAATAATAATTTATTAAATATGAAATTCTGTACACATAAGTTTCAGTTTAGTTAATTTATTATGCACTCTATACCCATCCTGTGAGTGGTAGTGAACCCAATGCCCATCCTGTGAGTGGTAGTGAACCCAATGCCCATCCTGTGAGTGGTAGTGGACCCCATACCCATCCTGTGAGTGGTAGTGGACCCCATACCCATCCTGTGAGTGGTAGTGAACCCCATACCCATCCTGTGAGTGGTAGTGGACCCAATACCCATCCTGTGAGTGGTAGTGGACCCAATACCCATCCTGTGAGTGGTAGTGAACACCATACCCATCCTGTGATTAACAATGGAATAGCGTTACAGAAACACATAATGTGTTCAGGAATTGAATCAAAAAACCATTTAACTAAGCAAGTTACAGCACTGAGGAGTTAGTTATAAGAGTTTGTTACCACATACATTCGAACCCCTTTAGGATTGGAATTTGGAGAGTTTATAAGGATTAATAGCTTGGAGACGTTTAAGCTTTGTCTAACACGTATAGGCTCAGCGCGACCCAAGCATGTTCAAGGAGTCATTTATAAGCTGTACCCAATATATGCACCACGAGTGTTGCTAGGTGATGAATGGTCATGGAGCCCTGAGGAATCATATGGGTTCCAGGACCGTCCACCACATATGGGCATTCGATTGATTGATTGATGAAGATTATGCCACCCAAGAGATGGCACGGGCATGAGTAGTGCCTCGCAGATGTCAAGCCGCCTGCTATCGCTGTATCTATCAATGATTTCTGTGTTGTTTGTTAAGACTTCTCTGGTTGTGAGAGGAGATTATATGTTCCTTGATGGAGCCCTGTTGCTTATGCATTGTTAGTCGCCTGGAAAGAGACGTTGTTGTCTTGCCTATATACTGTGTTCTTTGAGGCTTACAGTCCCCAAGTTTTTTGGAGAATTGAGATAATTTTCGAGAATTCATCTTTTTATTACCACCGACAGTGAAAAAAACATAAGAAATATTGAAAAAAATCGTGTTAAAATTATTAATCTTACCTTTTCGGTCATATTCAACAATATATGTATATATATATATATATATATATATATATATATATATATATATATATATATATATATATATATATATATATATATATATATATATGCGAACAAGCCTGAATGGTCCCCAAGACCATATATATATATATATATATATATATATATATATATATATATATATATATATATATATATATATATATATATATATATATATATATATATATATATATATATATATATATATATGTCGTACCTAGTAGCCAGAACGCACTTCTCAGCCTACTATGCAAGGCCCGATTTGCCTAATAAGCCAAGTTTTCATGAACTAATGCTCTTTCGACTACCTAACCTACCTAACCTAACCTAACCTAACATTTTCGGCTACCTAACCTAACTTAACCTATAAAGATAGGTTAGGTTAGGTTAGGTAGGTTTGGTTAGGTTTGGTCATATATCTACGTGAATTTTAACTCCAATAAAAAAAAATTGATCTCATACATAATGAAATGGTAGCTTTATCATTTCAAAAGAAAAAAATTAGAGCAAATATAGTAAATCAGGAAAACTTGGCTTATTAGGCAAATCAGGCCTTGCATAGTAGGCTGAGAAGTGCATTCTGGCTACTAGGTACGACATATATATATATATATATATATATATATATATATATATATATATATATATATATATATATATATATATATATATATATATATATATATATATATATATATATATATATATATATATATATATATATATGGTCTTGGGGACCATTCAGGCTTGTTCGCATATATATATATATATATATATATATATATATATATATACATATATATATATATATATATATATATATATATATATATATGTATATATAATATATATTACTTGAGTTCTCCCACACCGTAATCACTGTTAGGTAAGCACTGCTATGTAAGCCAACGTGACGTCACGCCTCAAGGCTCGCTTCCCTCCTGACTGTATTAAAATTCTTAAAGTGCACAATTAGTTCGGTCCACTCACTCCCTTATGAGCAAATCTAAATATATTCGAAAAACAATTATTTATAAGTTTCTTCTTTTGAAATGAGAACGCAATATATGGAAAAAGTAATGAACAAAAATATTCTTTACCTTGGACATTTCTTGGACAATATATATTGGTAGCATTCTTTTTTATAAAAGTAAATTTTTGAATATGTCCGAAATGGTAAAATTCTAACACGAAACTTCTCAATATTTCTTATGAATTTTTTTTTTCACTGTCGAGGGAAGTTGAAAAA